AGGCGTGAGGGTCTACACATGGATCCCACACCTCCCAGCCATCCAGATGCCCCCAGAAGTGTGTCCCATAGGCTCCTGGTGGATCCCAAAGCCAACTGAGTTGACACTGCACTCTGGTGGACCACACAGAAGGTCCTAGGAACTGAAACCTTCCAAGTGTGCTATGTGGGTTTGACAGTAGAAGAGGCTGGAGTGGGTGTCTGCAACATGACTAAAAACACAGCAGCTACATTTTTAGGCCACACTTCTTCAATCCAGAAAATTTCAAAGGAAGCCATAAATTCTAGGGCATAGCTCCTTCTCTCATGAGGTAGTGGCTCTTCTCTGTCCCTTTAATCTAGGCTTGCCCACAACTTGCTTTGTCCAAGCAGATGTAAGGTAAGGTGGCAGATGCCGAGACTAGAAATCCCTTGATCACTTGCCCTTACCGATCACTGGCTGCTAGAAACCACTTTGAGCCGTGTTAGCTGCACATGACAGGTGACATGTATGGTTCAAGCTGCGGGGCACACTGAGTGCCAGAGCTGGGGGGTGCAGTTGTCTTATACCTGCCAGATGTAGCTGTGATGGGCAGGCCCAAAGCATCTGCTTAGTTAACTCATAAAACTATGAGAAGCAGGAAACACCCTGTTGCAAGCCATTACAATTTGGGATGTTTTGTTACACAGCAAAAGCAGACTAATACATCCTCTATGCTCCAGGACATTGAAGGCAGAATGTTAGGTTTGAGTTCAACCAAGACAATCTGCAAATCATGGTTTGTTTTCCTGGATTCCCACCTTCTGATCAGCCTTTTTTCCTGTCCCCTTTATTTCGCTCTTCGCTTTTGTGTCCCGCTGAATTCCCACTTCCTGTTGGAGGCCCATATACCCTGGGTCTGTTGGTGGAGGTTTGGCCGGGTGCCTGACTTCTCAGGTCCTAACTTGTGTGGGAAAGCCTAGCCAAGAGCAAGTGCCACAGATGAGCAGGGCTGTACCTGCCCCGTGCAGGACTCAACCCTCCAAGGTGGCCTTGTGGGAGAGACAGAGAAAGGCCCCAGAGGGGAGCCCAGAGCTAGGGCTGGACCTCGGCAGAGCATGTCACAGATGTTACTTTATTGAAACTTCAGTAAAGTAATCAGAAGAGGAAGCAGCCACAGACAGGAAGCTGAGACTCCCAGGGTGCCACAGGTGCTCTGGTTTGCTCCAAAACTGTAGGTTTGGGTCCTGAGAACCAGGACCTGTGGGTGACACCTTATTTAGGCAGAGGATCTTTGAGAGCAAGTGAAGACCAGATCACACTGGAAAAGAGTGGCCTCCATCCAGGGGCCAGTGTCCTCACAGAAAGGGGAAACATGGATGGAGACACAATCGGGGGCAAAAGGGCTGTGATGTTGACACAGGCCAGGGGACCCCAGAGGTTGCTTGCAACTCTAGGAACTCCAGGCGAGCACAAGCCTGCAGGCTCTGCCTCAGAGCTGGGGGAGGATTCGTTCCTGTTGTCCAAGCCCAACTTGGTGGTCATTCCACTTGGGAGCCCTGGAAACTAAGACAGAAGGAAGTCCTTATAATTCATGTTTTAGGCACTAAGAAATCCAGCGTCCAAGCCAGCCTGGCGGGCTCTTTGCTGAACAGATGGCTTCCGGGTGGCCTCCTACCCTGACGACCCAGCCATGGGTGGCACAGCCTGGACCTGGAGTGGGTGGGGAGCTCAGCTCAGCTCCTACGATGCCAGCTGCAGCCTCAGCCCACAGAGACATTGCTGCAGTCATGCATGTGACAAGCATCTGCCACAAGCAGGTGTCCCTGAAGTCAAGGCAGCCAAGCCAGGTGTCCAAAAGCAGCCACAAGAACCAGCGAATGGCCAGTCACCCCATCTGCTTGGCATTTCCTTCTGTTTCGGCCCACTTGCTACATCCACAGCTGTTTGGAGTTTTTGCTAAAACCACTTTTAATAAACACCACCTGGGAGTCAGCTCAGAATTCTTACTGCGTGAGGCTCTGATGCCAGGTGCTCTTTTTCCTGAGCGAAGCCATGTTCCTCATTTTTCCCATGTTCACTGCCTGTCCAAAGCAGTGTGCTGGGGCAGAACGTGTGCCGCCTGCCTTTCTATCAGCGGCTCCCAGGTGGGAGCACAGCTGGGCACAGCAGTAGGTACCGGCACGACGGTTACACACACACACCCCTGCACCATCCCTCCAATGTGCATGCTCACTGGGGTCTCTCTTCCTCTCCCACACAGTGCGCTTTCTGAATTTTTCCTCTCTTGGATTCTGTAGGCGAGCAACCCCAAACTCAACCTCATTCATTTGTTCAGTCAGTGATTTGGAGCTCAGATCTGTCCCAGCTACCAAGGTAACCCCTAGTGAGTTCATGGTCCTGGGAACCTGTTTTGAAGGGTGCCTGTTTGCACAAACAATTCGAGTCACCCCAGAGCTGGTGGCCCTGTGTCCTCTGGGCCCATGACAGATGCACTGCCCTGTAGTGGGCAGCTCTGCAGTCAGCCATGAGTGTCCAAGGCCAGGTGATCTTGGGGAGTCTGGCTGACCTCCCTGAGTAGCCAGGTCAAAGTTCAGAGAGCAAGGAGGAGCCCCAGGGCCCCTGGCCAGGGTATGTGGCCCTCTAGGCTGTGTCAGGTCGGAAGCAGGATGTGGAAACCAGATTGCAGAGCTCTCGGGTTCCCTCAGCTCCAGGGGCTGCACAAGCAGGTGCAAGGCAAGGGGTGGAGGCTGCTGCAGGACACACTGGGCAGCATCACACTGGGAGCAGGGAGAGGGTGGCAGCTCAGGCCTGCTGGCTTGGACTCTCTAGTGTCGGTAGTGAAAGCTGTGGCCCGGGCCAAAGGTGTAGCTGGTCCTCAGGCCTTGATGAGGGAACACAAAGAGGACAGAGGGCGTGCTCTTTCCAAGGGGTGGCAGGAAAGGGCCTGGGCAGCTTGGGACCTGAGCTGCTCACCGGACAGATCCACCCAGCCCTGGGGACACGATGTGGGTCCCCGGAACCCGGGAAGCCAAGAGGCTCTGTAGTGTGGCTCAGCACTGTGAGGGCCGCTGTCCTGGTGTCCACAAGGCCAGTGTCCACGGATGTCATTGTGAGGGTCTGGGAAGAGGGAAGCAGTGGAGATGGAGAGGCAGCCAGGAGAAGCTCTGAACGACACTGGCCCTCTGCATCTACAGCTTCTGCTCTCGGCTGTCCAGCACAACCAAAAATACCTGGAAAAACTCGTGTCTGTTCTGAACATGTACTGACTTTTTCTGATTGTTATTCCTTAAACCAAAGGCCCGCCACTGTGTAGATGGTGTTTACACTGTGTGAGGGACCCTAAGTCGCCTACAGGTGATTTCTTTTGGTACTGGGAATAGAGCTCATGACTTCGTGCTGGCCAGGCAGGTGCTGTGCCCCTGAACTGTATCCCCAGCCCACCTAAAGGTGATTTAAAGCAGCAACTCCCCCCCAACCCCAATTTTTGGCACCAGGGCCTGGTTTCATAGACAGTTTCCATCGGAGTAGGTGTGGGTGGGAGGTATTAGGGATTGGATTCACGGTAAGGTTCACACATTTTGTTGTTGTTTTTTTAAGGCACTGTGTAGTCCAGGCTGGCCTTAAACTCACCATTTAGCACAGGCTGCCCTTGAACTCACAGCGATCCTTTTGCCTTGGCTTCCCAACTGCAGGGATTATGGGCATGAATCACTATGCCCAGTATCTAGCTAGGTGTTTGTCCCTGTGACAAATACCTGTGCTAAACAATTTGGAGGAGGAAAGGTTTATTTTGGCTCAAGGTTCAATTCATACTTGGCTCTGTGGTTTCTGGGCCACCGGGCCGCAGGAACAGCTCAGTGGAAGGGTACGGCAGAGCAGAGCTCCTTGGCTCGCAGTGGAAAGGAAGCCCAGGAGCAGGAAGAATGGGCCGGGGCCAGATACCTGTGACCCATTTCCTCCACCACAAGGCTCACTTCCTGTGCTCAGTGCCCTAAGTAGTGCCCTCCCAGGGACAACTGAGGGCCACCAGGATCCAGGCCCCTCTCATTTCTCAGGGTTTCTCCGTCCGATCAAGCTGGCCATTGGGCTTCACCAGGAGAGGCTGGTATGTGAGCCTGAGAAGACAGTGTCACTGGGTGTTGAGCGTGGTTTGGAGGGGGCAGAGGTGGTGGAGAGATGGAGAGCTGGAGAGCAGGGCACCAGCCGTTCCAGCTGGGTGAGTGAAGGCTGGTGTGCCTGCATCGACCATGCCTCTGTCTTGGTTGTACTTTTGCCAAAGGCATCTGCACCAGTTTTAGAGGAGATTAGAGTGAAAAACAAAGAGCAGAACCAAGAAGAGGGGAATTTTCACAGGCCCTGGACGGGTTCTCCCACAATTGGAAGTGACATTCTGGAACTTACAGGAGGGAACCAGCCTGGGCATAGAAGGCCCATGGAACTCAGATGACACGGTGGGCAAAGGTCAGTGCTTCTGCACAGAGATGCCTTGGGGATGACCCTGTTCTTTTGGGGGACACAGACAGCACTGAGCCCAGAGGACCTGAGCATGGCTCTCTCTGCTTTTTGTCAACCAAGAGACCTTCGCACAGGAGGAATGTGACTGTACTGCGGCAGGCTGGGACTCTGGAGGACACGGCCACCAGCATGTCCCCTGTCCTCACAACAGACAAGAAGGCAGAGACCTCTGCCCTTGCAGAGATGCCGAGTCCCCGTCACAGTCTTCGCCACCCCCAAAGTTGGGTTTGTGACACGGCTGTCACACCTGCCGAGGGCCAGCCTGTTACACCTGCCGAGCGCCTGTCCAAACAGCACCGAGGTCCCACCCACTTGTGAGCACAGGACGCATGCTCATCCCTCAAGCACTGTCCTGACACTGAGCGTGGGGTTCACACAGATGTCCAGGTTGCATCGTGCTGGCCACTGGCTCTGAGCTCTGCTTGAGGGCCGAGGACCGCATCCTCAGCTCCCTGGAGGGGGACGAGATAGCAGCATCAGGGGACACAAAACCAACCCTACTGAGGAAAAAAGTACAGTACCCATTTCTGTATAAGAATATATTATTTAAAAGACAGTTTAAAAATAAAAATTCTGTACAGCATCATGGATTCCCCTTTTTTCCCCCCATATCAGTGAATGGGCAGTCCTTAGAAAACATGGTCCATTGGCGTCAGGTACCCGGAGCGATTCTCCTGGCACTGAGGGTCCCACAAGGCTCTGCCAGCCCATCCACATTGGCCACGGCCACGGCCACTGTCCTGCTGCTGCTCCCGGCTGCTTCTGGCTCGGTCTGCTTGGCAAAAGAAAAGGCAAAGGTTTGTCCTCATGGGGACGGGAACATGCAGGGCGAGGTCATTGCCCAGCCCGAGCTGTCCTAGAACCCGACCTGACCTAATGACAAGCGCCATGCACCAGGCACCTGGGGTGGCCCAGTGCTCTGCCCTGTCCTCCCTCTAAGCCCAAAGATGGCCGATCTAGGTGCTGCGGCTCAGAGGTCTGGAGACGCCTGCACTTGACTTGTCCTTGGCAAAGCCAGGGCACAGAATGAAGTGCACAAGTGCAGAGCCTCCCTGCTGCGTCCCTGAGTCCCGGCCGCTGGATTTCTGAAAAGCTTCAGGTACCTTGACTGCACTTGGGTTTGGAGACACTGAGAATCAAACGCAGGCTGCACTGAGCCCCATCTCCAGCTCTCTTTTACTTTGTATTATTTCTGTTGTACTTGCCAGGCAAGTGCCTTGCCATGGAACAACCTGCCTGGCCGTGCCGACTTTTTATTTTGAGACAGGACCTCACCAAATTGACTAGCCCAGCCTGAAAATTTGTGACCCTCCTGCCCCAGTCTCCTGAGCTGGGATTACAGGCATGTACCACCATGCCCAGCTCAATTGTATTTAAAAAAGTAGGCCAGGCATGGTGGTGCACACACCTGTAATCATGGCACTCAGAAGGCTGAGGCAGAGAATCACTGAGAGTTCTAGGCTAGCCTGGGCCACACAGTCCTTCAAGGCCAGCCTGAGCTGCATAGTGAGACCCCATCTCAAAAAGAAAGGAAAGGGGGTGGGGCTGTGCAGCGGAGAGCTTGCCCAGCACAGATAAGGCCCCGGCTGCAATGCTTAGAACCACAAACAAAACACAACACAACACAGCACAAAACTTAACTTCCCCTTGTAATTAGTGCTGCTCCTATCTTTTTCCTACTTGCTGAAGGATATTCCCTTTTTTTTTTGATACCAGAGATCAAATTTACAACCTTGTGCTTGCCCGGCAGGTGCTTTGCCATGAGCTGAATTCCTAGCTTCCTGTGAAAGTTTTTTCTACTTCCTACATACAAGGAACTCAGTTTTCCCCTATGTAGAAACACTCCTCGTGTGCTGGTCTGAACACGGCTGTCTACCTGGGTGCGTATGCCTGAGGTCAAGCCCTCTGTGTAATATTAAGCGGGCAGAAACTTCACCTGAACCTGGTGGAGGCTGGGATTAGTCGAGGGCTCCGGTCCCCCAGACAGAGGGGCCACCTGGCAGCTCAGCCTCGGCCCCGCCCACACGGTCCGGGTGCCCTGTGCCCTTCTGTCTGAGTTACCATGTGTGCCAAGCCCTCAGTTTGGAGATGAGTTGCCTTCAGTCTTCCTGTCGTCCCCGCTCTTTTGTCTGGACTTCTCGCTGACCCCAGAGCTCAAGCTCTCCGTCTGCTTCTGTAACTAGGACAGAGTGGGTGGTGTCAGTCCCAGGAGGTGTGGTGGGCAATGGTGCCAGGATGGTCGCTGGGGACTTTTTGGGGACAGCTCTGGTATGAGTGACCCGCCCTGTGACAGCCTAGGTTTGCACGGAACAAGAGCTCTGCGGCCTGCGGCCCCGCAGCCCCGCAACCCCAGCGCACAGCCCAGAGGCACACACAGATCTGGGCTTTCCTCCCCATATGTGCCTGCCCTGTCAAGGTGGTGCCAGGGACAGCCCTGGAGTCCCCGCTGGGCAGAGGGCACAGGATTTGCAGATGCAAGGCCTTCCCAGCAGTGGCTTATGGGACAACCTAGTGCCAGCAGGGATCCAGGCAGTAGAAGGCCCTTAGCCCTCTCTGGGGGCTAAGACCAGGGCAACTCTCCTGCTTCATCTGTGCCTCTGTACTTATGTCTTTCACGGTTTCACTGCCCTCTCTGTGATCTTTGGGTGGGAAGTTCTAGCTAGCAGTCAGGATCACTGGTTGGGACTTTTAATTAATGCATGAGCATTTATGGAGCACCTACGGTATGCCTGGCATTGTACACAAGGTGGCTAAGGGACTGGCAAGGCGCCAAGGGCACCCAGGGCTTCCAGGTTCCCTGGCTGAAAAGATGGTAAATGGGGTGCACAGTGAGTGCCCAGGAGGGCACTGGCAGCGAGGAAGTAGGGCCCTGAGGGCATTACAGGGCCCAAGTCAGGCTGAGAGAGCACAGGAGGCACAGGGAGACTGTTCCAGGCAGGGGGCTTCCTGGGCAAAGTGAGGGAGGCCGTGCTGCGGCCAACATCATCAGGTGAGGACTTGGTGGGGTCTGGCCTGGACACGCACACTCAGATGCTGGCGTGGCCAAACCCGGCCAGGGATCCGAGGAAAGGCCGCAGGCATGGCCTCCACCCAAGGCCTCCAGAGCCAGGCTATGTGTCGATGCTGCCACTGTTACCTCTTTCATGGCATCATCCATCTGCTTCAGCTCCTCGTAGTGGTCCCGGGATTCTCTCAGGGGCTGCAGCATGAGCTCCTCGACCACGGGGAAGAGCTGAGGAGACAGACGTGGTCATACAAAGCCACCTGGTCAGTCCTCTGCCCTGGGGACCTGCCTGTGTCTGACCCTCTCACCCCTCCTCACTGCTACCTCCCCAGACCTCTACTCCCCACCTGCTGGCCAAACCCTGTGGACAGGAAAGGGGACACAGTGTGAAGACACGAGGAGAAGGAGCCACAGGTTGCAGCTCATGCTGGGGAGGGTGGCTAAAGGTGGATCTGCTTTGGACAGAGGGTGACCCAAGGTGGGGGCCTTGGGCAGGTGGCCATGGATGTTGGGTGCTGGGCAGTGCAGACAAGAGGGCGATGTGGGCAGAGGAAGGTAGATGACACCAGGAGCCGGGCATTTATAGCCTGAGGGCATCTGGTCCAGCTGGAAAGCTGCAGGGGCAGCACTGCCCACAAGCATGCGGGAAATGGCCCCTGCAGCCAATGAGGTGGCCTCTGAGGGCTCTGTGTATTCACACGTGTGTGCACATGAGCGGGTGTGTGCATACACATGCATTTGCACCAGCAGCGTGGGCATGGGCCATGGCCACTCACCTTGGTCACTGTTTCGAACATCGGGATCAGGACAAACTTGATGAACCCAATTTGGGCTGTAGCTTTGGTCACTTTGTCTCGGTCCATGAATGGGGCCACGGGAAGGCCTTCTGACTTCTCACGGTCACTCTGCAGGGAAGGCAGGGGACTGGGTGGTATGGATGGGAGTGCCAGGCAGCAGGGAAAACACCCAGCACCGCTCTTGGAGAGGAAGTGCAGAACAAGCTCTGTGCACACAGGCGCCCAGTCTGCACTGGGCCCGCGCACAGAGTCGGGGGACCCAGGTGCACCTGGGGGTGCTTGTTAAAGGCATCGCTGGGCTGTTAGGGCAGCTGCACTCAGGGCTTCCCATCCTCTCACTCATGAGGCCATCTCGCTGGGGTCGTCCTTGTGAGCTGCCCTGCCAGGTCTCACCCATCCTGGCTCCTCCCTGCCTCCGTAGCTCTTTCTCCTGGACAAGTCCCCTGCCGAGTCTGCCCCCAAGAGTGGTTTATTTGTGGCAGTGGGTGGGGACCTGAGACATCACAGAGCAGGCGATGGTGGCTGAAGCAGTGGCTGTGCCCAGCACCTACCTGCATGAAGTACTCTTCTAGCAGACAGTCCACCCAGGGCTCCGCCACGTCCACGGGCCGCACCTCGTTGGAGATGTCACAGCACTTTATGAGGATCATCTTCAGCTGCAAGGAGAGACACGGGGATGAAGGCATCAGGACACAGGCAGGCGATGGGACGAGGCGGAGGCGGGGTGCTGGACGTCACCCTGCCCTTGGCCAGTCCTGACCAGGCTGGGCTTTCAGCTTTGGCTTCAGCCAGGAGCACGGGGGCGCCAGGGTGACACATATTCTGTCAAGGCCAGCTATCTGGGTCAGAAACAACACACGGGGGATACAGGAAAAACGGAAGACCCTGGGAAGATGGCGGCGGTTACAAGTCTGGGAGAAGCCAGGGGTGGTGATGCAGGCTTGTAACCCCGCCCCGGGGAGGCTGAGGCTGGAGGGCGGCAGTTGATGCCCATCCTAGGTAACACAGGGATGGAGCCAGACCCTGTCTCAAAATAAAAGACAGAAAGGGGCTAGTTCTGTGCGGTGTAGCTCAACACAGAGGCCTGGGTTCAGTTCCTAGGAGTGCAAACCAGTACGTACGTACACATACATTTGACATGCTGGCTGGGGTGTAGCTTGGGGACCCAGCTCTTGCCTCGCATGCAGGAAGCCCAGAGTTTGCTCCCTAGCATGGTAAAGGAGGGTCTCCCTGGGCTGGGGCATGGGAGGCCCCAAAGAATGATATGGGGTCTTTAGAAATACAACAGAGTGGCAGGGCACAGTAGAATACACCTGCAATTCCAGCACCTGGGAGGCTGAAGCAGGAGGACCTCTGTTCCATGTCAGCGTGGGCTACATAGTAAGTTGGAGGCCACTCTCATCTACATAGTGAGACTCTGTCTCAAAGAAACCAAAAGAAAAAAATAGAGTGACAAAGGAACCCCCTCCCATCTCATAGTCTGGGGGGCACCAGCTTCAGCACTTCCACACCTCAGAACTTGGGGAACCACAGCCCTGCCCTGTGGACCAAGTATCCATTGGTGAAACCCCAGTCATGGAGTCAGAACTCTGCACTGCACCTCCCTGTGGCACCCGGGTCCTGCTGAGCCCGGACCTGCAGGCAGCCTCAGGGTGGCCTGGGTCCCCTCTTCCCAGCCTTCCTGGCCACTGCAGCCCATATGATGTCCCCCACAGCACTGTCCTATGAGCAGGTGAGCTTGGTCCATGGGGCCTGAACCTGCCTGACTCGCTGGTGCTGCTGTGGCTGTGAATGTGCTGGCCAAGGCCTCTCCATCCACACATCTGTGCCTCAACCTCAGCCAGGCTTGAGGGCCCCACTGCACCCTCCTCACTGGCTATGTCCTAGGCTCCTGGCAGTGACCCCAATCTTCCTGCCACCTTCCGGGGAGCTGCCCCCTGACACGCCTTGGGGTGGGGACTCAGGCTGGAGCAGCACAACTCCCCGTGCCACCTGGACTCTGCTCATCCTCAGACCTGGGGGACGAGGTGGCCTCACCCACCTCCTCCCGCTGGGTTTCCACGAGCAAAGGTGTCAGGGACCCAACATGACCACACGAGGCCCCTTACCTCCCCTTCAACATCTGGGCTTTGTCACCTGTGCCCAACAGCGGCCCAAACATCAAATGGAAAATTCCAGAAGCGAACACAAGTGAAGGTTTAAATTTCACGCCTTTTTGGTTGGGTGAGGAACTCTTGCACCACCTGCCGCAGCCCGCACTGCTCATACCCATCCTCACTGTCCCTCACGGGTCCCCACGCACTGCATGGCGCGGGATAACTGCCTTACAGTGGGTCTCCTCCTGTGATGCGTTTGCAAGCAAAAGCACTGCGTCCTAGGGCTCAGTACTCTCCAGTTTCTGGGTTCCAGGGGGACACGGGAAGCCTGGCTGTCCCTGGCTTCCATCTGGGGAAAAGGTCTCCCCCAGGGTCCCAGCCCATTGTCAGGACAAGAGTGGCCACTCCCGGCTGGGTGCCCTCTGTCCCTCAGCTTTCTACAGAGGTGACCCTGAAGGCTTGCTCCCTGCGGGACAGCCAGCTCAGCCCCAGCGAGTGGGGCACCCCAGGTGGTCAGCTTTTCCTTGCTTCATTTTTTGTTTTTGTCTTTTTGAGACAGGGTCTCGCTCTGCAGTTCAGGCTGGTCTTGAGCTCACTTTGGAGCCCAGGCTGGTCTCAAACTCACAGCAGTCCTCCTGCCTCAGCCGCCCGAGTGCTGGGATTACAGGTGTGAGCCACCACCCATAATAATCAGCCAGGCTAATAATCAGCTTTTTCAGTGGCACGCAGGAATGATACTGGTGTTAAGGAGTTTATTTTATTATTTTTTCACTTATGATGATGATTTTTATCTTCTGAGACAGGGTCTCACTATGTATTTGAGGCTGATCTTGATTTCACTGTGTAACTCAGGCTGGCCTCAAACTCACAGCGATCCTCCTGCCTCAGCCTCCCGAGTGCTGGGACTAAGCAGTTAATTTTAAATGAAAGTATCCTTTGCACGTAGATAAGGTGTGGCATAACTAGCTTCCTCTCTGAGCTTGGGGAAGGGGACAGGAAGGGAAAGGCTCATGCGTCCTTTACAAAGGGCTGGCCCTGGGCATACTGGGCTTCTCCCTGTCCTGGAAGCACTGCCCTCCACCATGGAGGAGGGCAGCCCTGCCAATGGCTGGCCCAATAGGACCTGTGACCCTCAAAGGTGGTTCCTGGCACCTTGTTCAAGGCCCTAGCTGCGGGTTCTTGTCCCTGGGTTTCTGGTCCGAGCTGAAGGCCAAAGCTCACCCCGAGGTCCCCCACTCACCAGGGTCAGGTGTTCATCATTGCTGTAATCAAAGTTCTCCATCTTCTCCTTGAACGAGTCCATGATCTCCTCGTGCCTGGCCATGTCCGTTGCCAGGATTAACGTGATCATCCCCTGTGTGGGGAGAGAACAAAACCTGAGCTCCAGGTACAACCTCCACCATCCCCAGACACCCAGCACACGTGGCCCTGAGCCCATTTCACAGGTCGAGAAGCAGCTGGGGAGCTGCCCGCGCCCCAGCTGTGTGGCTGCCATGCATGCGTGCCAGGGACCCCGCCGCATCCACAGCCTGCAAGGTGACTGACCCACAGATTGCAGGGTTACAGGTCACCCCACAGGTAACTATACTTCTGGAGCAACCGGCCAGCTCTAGCCAGGAGGACCCCGCCCCCTGACTAGGCTGTCAGGGACATGGTCTGCGCCTCCATGTCCTAGGCTTCCAGAGCAGATTTTCCAAGAGACTTTTCCTCTTATCTATGAGTGTGTGTGTGTGTGTGTATGGGCTTGGGAACAACCAAAGTCAGTCCACATTTAATAAAATCTTTATTAACACACTTAAAAATGAACATATAAGAGTTTTAAAATATAAATATTTCATTACTTCGTGGTTTGAATGTTCCCTCGGAAGCTCAGGTTGAAATCTGGTCTCCAGTATAACCGTGCAGCAGAAGAGTGGGAACTCCCAGGAGGGTCTGGGTCCTGCTCTTGTGATGGGGTGAATGTCACTCTCAGAGGATGGGTGTCCCCTCCAGGGGGTGAGCAAGGTCTCAGGCTCACTTGCCTTTTAACCTCTGCCTTTTAACCTCATGTTATGATTCATCCATCATCCACCACCCAGCCACACTTCATCCATCCATCACCATCTATCCATCATCCATCCATCCATCTACCCACCTGGCCACCTTTCATCTACCCATCCATCATCTATCCATCATCTGTCCATCATCTATCCATCATTGATCCATCATCCATCCATCCACCCATCATCTATTCATCATCCATCCATCATCCATCCATCCATCCATCCATCATCATCTATCCATGATCCATCCATCCATCTATCCACCCATCCATCCATCTTCATCCATCCATCCATGCATCATCCACCTACCCAGCCATCTTCGCGCATCCACCCATCCCACCCCTGCTAAGAGAGCACCTCTGAGCCACCTATGGCTCTTTGCATTTCCAAGAGAAGAAATACAAAAGCCAGGGCATCCAACACAGGGCATCTGGAATGCGTGCATTTGGGTGGCACTGCTTGTGCTTTGAATTATGCAGTCTTTCTATAAAGACTGGACTGTTCACTTTTTTCGGTGGGGGATGGCACATAGGGCCTTGGACACGCTGGATAGGGGCTCTGCTGCTGAGCTACTCCCCCAGCTCATTTTATATTTAGAGATAGGTATGTTAAGTTGCCCAGGCCAGGCCTGCGTTTCTTATCCTCCTGCCTCAGCCTTCTAACAAGCTAGGATCATGAGTACGTGTCCCGGTGCCCAGATAAGAAAGTCCTACTTGAAAACCAGTAGGTTTGGAAGAAGGACAGCCCTTATCAGTCACACGGTCACAGGAAGAAGACCAGAGGCCGGCTGGCCCTCTGATCAGGGGCACCTCCTTTTTCAGGGTGCTGTCTTTCAGGGTAAGTCATACATGGGGGTGGTCCAGTCCTACTGCTGAGGGGCTCCCCACCAGCAGTGCTGCAGGCCGTATGGGGTTCTCTCCCCAGGGTGCCCTTCTGGCCACTCCCAAGGGAAGCTGGCCCTCCACGGGTGACAGGGCTTATGCTGAGAGCGGTCCGTAAACAGGAGGAGAGGTTAGAAACTGCAGGATGGAGCGGCAGCACCAGGAACTGGCGGCTCAGTAATGACCATAAGTGACAAGACAGCTGGCTGAGACCTTCCCAGCACAGATGGGGACCATGGCCTATCGGGTGCTGCTCTCTGAGAGTGAAGCCCTCAGGAGAGAGGATGCTTCCCAGGCTGGACTCCAGCAGAGCTGACCGCTCCCTGGGGAGGAACCCTGCGGGGACTCAGAACATGTGAGGTCCCTGTGGGAAGGCACAGGTGCACCCCAGGGAGACAGAGTCTCCCCATGTGAGTGCCCTTTGGTGTTCTGCAGGCTGGAAGTGCAAGATCATGGATCCACCAGGCCCTGACCTCCAGGTCTCCAAGGAAGGCCTCTGACCAGCTCTGGGGGCCCTTGTCACTGGTACAGGGCCACCCACCCTGCGACCTAGAGGTCCTGTCAGAACAGCTAGAGTTCCTTGTCACAAAAGGCCACAGCCACAGGTCTTGAGGTTGACCCCGTGCAACCCACCCATTTCCTGGGGTCACCACGTAATGCCCCTCCTCCGTGAGGCCTACAGTGGACAAGGTTATGCAGCAGGGTGGTGGGCGTGGGCAGGCCATGGGTGTCAGGTGACAGCAGCTGAGACCCCAGGGCACTGGCTGGCTGCAGGAGGCAGCTGGCAGGGCTGGGTGGCTGTGGTGTGCAGGCTGGTGGGCTATCCCTGCATAGCAGCCCCTCCTCCACCCTCTTTTTTGGGGTCCCATCCTGGGCCCAGGTGGAAAGGGGGCTGAAGTACAGGTCCCTAGAACACTGGTGGGCCCTGCTGTGACCAGGAGCCTCTGGCCACACTGGCAGTGGGGCGCTGCCCTATCCCCATGCACCGTGCTCACAGTGGAGGCCCCACAAGCCCACCTGCCGGATCTGTCTGAAGCCCTCCGTTGGCACGTTGGCAAAGATGTTGCACTCGGGCCGCGCCAGGATCTGGAAGGCCACTGCGCAGTGGTGGTTCTCCAGAGGCGAGATGTCGTTGTAGCGCACAGCCAGCTCCGTGCGGGCATTGATCTGGTACCTGCGGTGCACACCAGGGGTCAGGCACCTGCATGCAGCAGGGGCACCTGTGCGTCCAGGTGTTCGAGTGGTGGCTGCAGAGGCAGGAGGGGCGGGTATGTGGCAGGGCTAGGGACCTGATGCTCTCTCACCTGCTGCCCTGAGTTTTAAGGTGGACAGACAGGTCCCACATGAGCTCAGGCTTGTGGGATGCAGTGAAGCCATCCATGCTGTGTCACCTGGGGATCCACTCTGGACTTGACAAGTGACAACATGGTTCTTAGCCATGTCTGATATTATCATGCACACAGATGTGCTGGAAAGGACTGAGCTGTCACTGTGAACACAGACTCAGGCCACCTGCTGGAACCTGAGGGTTTTGGGGACAGCACACTGCGTCTGACACAGGCAGGAGGGCTCGGTGTCCCCTTGGGCCGTGGCCCTGCTGTGGACCTGTTCCCACTACTCTTCTGGCCTCTGCCCTCAGAAGCTGGCGAAGAGTGCCACCTAGGCTTTGCTCTGCTCTCTGCTGAGCCTCGGGAACAGGGTGACAAGGCACTGTGGCTCCCCTCAGGATCTCCTGGCCCTGAAGAACTCTGACGCCAAAGGAGAACACCCAGGACAAAGGCCCCAGACAGAAATGGAAGCTGAGCACTTTGTCCTGCTGAGGCGGAGCTGAGAGCTGGGGGCCTCTGAGACAGGATGGCGGTGGGAGAAGAGAGCTGGGACGCCCTGAGCCGGGGCGCCTGCGGAAAGGGAGGGAGAGGAAAGAAACGTGCACGTACGTGTTGTTGTATCCCGGGTGATCCAGGTCATGGCAGATGGCTGCCGTCATCAGGACCAAGATGTCCATCTGGGAAAACTTCTCCTGGGTCAAGGGTCAGAGATCGGGTTTTGGCTTCCCTCTCGGGAAGGGGATGGCAAGGAGAGGCTGGGCAGGTGGGATACAGCAGCAAGGCGGGATGAGGCTGCCACCCCACCCAAGCCATCCCAAGGACTCAGGTGGGATAAGGAGGTCAGGCCACACTGCATTATTTCTTGAACTACAGGGGACTGAAGCTGGGACCTCTGCACTGAGCTCCATCTCCGGCCCTTTTACATACAATTTTTTTTTTCTTTTTCCTTTTTATCGGTACCGGGGATCGAACTCACAACCACCTGCTTGCACGGCAGGCGCTTATGCCGCTGAGCTAAATCCCCAGCCCCTCTGGCCCTTTTAAAATGTTGAGGGTCTTGCTAAGTTGCTACACTGCCTGGGCTAGACTTGGACTTGTGACTTTCCTGCCTCAGCTTCCCAGAGTGCTAGGATTATAGACACATGCTACCATGCCTGCTTGCACCAGCTCTGGGAATAACCATAGGAGCAGCCTCACAGTGGGGGCCTCACAGCCGGGACTCCAAGGCAGAGCTCTGGGTGGCACAGGTATGACCCCAGGTGGGTGCTCCTTGGCAGGACTCACCTGCAGGTTACAGAGCCAGACCATGCTGTACATCATCTGGGTCACACAGAAGCAGTGCCGGAAGTTGTGGAAGGGGTTGTTGCGGTAGTTGTCGTGCACGCAGAGCTGGGTTGCAGGGGGACAGGTGAACTCTGAGCCCCAGGACTCCCCAGGGCCACGTCTGGACGCCCCCAGCCTGATCCTCACCAGACCCCAGGCCCAGAGCCTGGGGGTCTCCATGGGGTGAACCCGGTGGCTTCACGGCCTGGGAAGTCCCATGGTACATGCAGGATCCATCCCCCAGGGGCATGGCTATCTCAGGTCTCCTAACCATGGGAGTCACCGGGCTTCTGTGCTGGGCTCTGAGCACTGTTGCTGTTCATAAGAAGACCTTCCAAACACACCCAAGCACACGCCCCCTGGGGAGCGATGTGTGTGGCCCTGTGCTTCACATGCCCATCTGAGTCACATTGTCACTGCTGCCCCGAGTGGGCACTCAGGGGCTGAGCCAGCAAGGACAGAGAGGCTGGATGTCCTCGGAAAGGAATGTCCCTCTGCAGGGCCTGCTCGGCTTCACCATGGGGACAGCCCAGGGTCAGCTAGGGGCGTTGGCTCCAAGGGGCAGGGTGGCCAACTCACCAGCCAGCGCCGGAGTGTGACAGGGTTGATGCCGAAGTCGCTGACCAGGCCCAAGTCATGGTACATGTGCTCCAGGCAGCTCAGCATCTGCAGGTCGGTGAGGCCGGCACTCAGCCCAAACAGCCACCAGGCAGTGTGGCCAGGCTGTCCCAGGAGGTGAGTGCCAACCCTCAGAGGGCAGGACCTGGCGGCAGGTCCTAGGGAAGCTGCCGGATGCCTTTCAGGGCCTCCTAGAGGGGCGAAGGAGCCCGAGAGAGAGGCGGGCTCGGGGGACTTCGGAAGTCCATCAGTCTCAAAACTTCCACTTGTGGGGCGGCCATGACCAGGCAGGGTGGCCTACTCTTCCTGGGTAACCGCATTCTGCTTTATGAATCCCAACACACGAAAAGCAATCTCAGAAGACAGCCACACAGCGGTTTCTGTTTTTCATGCCAGGCAAGTGCTCTACGCACAACCTGCATCTCCGACCCTAGGAACACAGTTCAAGATCCGCAGACCCTGGCCCTCACCCAGGGAGAGGGAGAGGAGGCTGGGGCCCGGAGCTGTGGCCCCTCACACCCAGGCAGCAAGATACTATGCTCTCCTGGGACTGGGGCTCTGGGTGTCACCATCTTGCAGCCCGGCCTCTACCTTGGCACCAGCTCCTCCCAAAGCTTCTCACAGAGGCTCCGCCCTGATCCAGGTGCAGTCTTAGGGTCACTGGGGACATCATGTGAATACCACCCCAAAGAAGACGAGATGGTACTGTGGATTTTCAGGAAGAGCAGGTTGTGGGTGCTGAGCCCAGGGAGACAGGAGACCTATAGAATGGGGCAAGTGGGACACTGGGGGCCCCGTGAGCACATCCTGCACCTCCTCTTCCAGTCTCTGCTGGAGCCTGGCGCACCTGCCCCCCTCAAAGGCCATGTGACAGCCTGAGCTGTGCCCCCAATGCCCATAAAAACATGGCAGCTTTGTGGTCTGCAGCCTCTGGTCCTGCCGTCTGGGACAGCAGGTGGCCCCGAAGAGCTGTTATGTTTGCTGGGAAACCAGAGTCAGGGAGAAGTTAGCTGACAGACAAGTCATCTGCTGCCTCTGATGAGGGGAACATGGTGGCTTCGCAGTGAGAGTGACGCATCTATCCCCACAGTGGCAGCCAGGAGCCCTGGAGGGCAATGCAAGGTCTGGTAGCTGGAGGGCATGGCGGAGGATGCCAGGCTGGTGGCTGCAGTGATAACTGTGGACTTGGGTGATGGGGCTCCCCTGTGTGGCATGGTGGCCACGCTTTTGGCCACAGCCCTAGGGAGGACCACGGGTACTACTGCAGTGCCGGGCGGTGTCCTCTGCCTGGGCAGCATGCGTGGGGAGGGAGCCGGGAGGACTGCCCCGGCCCTGGTGTTCCCAGGGAGGGCTGCCTCTTGGTGGCTGCCACCTCCACAGCTGGTGGCTGCTGGAGCTCTGTGTGTCCCTGGGCCTTCAACGGTTCATTGCTGCTCAGTCCTGGCCATGTCTGACTCTGGGCACCTCCACTCATCACCAGTATGTGGCTGGGAGGTCCACAAGCACCATGTCGCCTCTGACCTGCGTGTTGAATCCTGCGGCCTAGGCCCAGGGTCCCCTCTCCTGCCACCCTCAAACAGAACTCCTTTAGCAGAAGAGGAGAGAAATGGTGGCAAGGACATGTTTGCCCAAGGACCCAGCTGGGAGTCACTGCCAGGAGACCTGTGCCAAGTGACCCTAGACACTGCAATGCTCCTGGTGGCTTCGCCAGGGGCAAGGCTGGCAGCAGTCTCTCATCCTGCGCCTTGTGTGGCCTTGTCTGCCGTGGCCTGGCTGTGCCCAACTCTGGGGGCCTGGGCTGTCCCCTTCCTTCACAGTCCTCTCTGTGTTCACTGGCCATGCCTCCTGCCCCTTGGGTCTTTGTGCTGCATCCCCAGAGCTGGGAGCACCCAGGAGGGGCGACCAGGTACAGGGTGATGGGGCAGGGTGGACGCTGGTCTTGCTCTCCCAGCCAGCGCAGCCAAGGTGTGGCCTGTGCCTGTGACCACACAGAGGGAGTGGTTTGGGGTAAGGAAGCAGCATGCCGGACTGTGTTCCCAGTGGTGGGAGCCTCGAGCTGTGAATCCTAATGGTGCAAAACCCCATTTCCTGTGCTTGGCAGACTTGACCCTGTCAGAGTGTGGACTTCCTGCCCGGCTGTGCACCTCGACTCTTCTGGGCTGAGGACGGGTGGGCCTGATGTCCACGATAACAAGGGCTTTGCTTTTGGGGGCATAGAATGGCATTTAGACAGTGTTATGAACTAGGTCAAACCCCAAAACCTCCATTTCAGGTTTTTTCAGCTGTCCCCTTGCCCTCCTGAGCCTGCACATTGCTGCTCTGCTCTGAATCCCGGAGCACCAAGGGTTCGTCCTTCAGAGGGCAGCGCAGAGGAAGGGAGCACATGGGAGGAGCAGGCTCAGCCCTACTCGGGTCTGCGGTCCCCAGCGACCCAGGGCCCCATTTCCTGCGCTCACCTCGTTGGGCTCCCACAGCCAGACATCGAAGGTGGGTTTCCGGAGGGCTTCAATGGTCTCTGGAGACAGCAGGTACTGGAAGGGACAGGGGCCACATTACCCAGAACCTGGGGCTTTGGCAGAGACAGAGGCAGTGACCTCGGAGTGCTTGGGGAACACTGTCCTTGTCCCCCTCACGTCCTGTGCAGACCCAAGGCTGTTTCCTCCGCAGATGACAACTCAGGGGCCACGGGCAAGGTTCGAGGTGTACCTGGGGACTTGGGGAGGTGACGAAAACATTCTGCGTATCTCAATTGTGGTGAGACTTTCTTTTTTGAGGCAGGGTCTCCCTATGCAGTTCAGGCTGGCCTACGACTATCTAGTCTAAGTGATCCTCCTGTCTTAGCCTCTGGAGTACTGGGATTACAGGTGTGCGGCTCCACACCTGGCTTCACAGTGGCAGTTTCACAGCTGTGCATGTGTGTCACATACACACGGCACTGTGTACCTAGAGAAGCCAGGCCGCGTGACCATAAGTTAGAAGTCCCTAAGTCTGACAGTCAAAAACACAATAAAGCCAAGCCAGGGGGAAAATCCGCTCAGCATAAATTCAAAGATGGTTGAGAAGCTCCCGTGTGTGTTGAGTGCTGACGCCAGCCCCGGTCTCCTGCTTGCTGATGGTGGCCGATGGCACCACTGGTCACAACAAGCGACTCTGGACATAACACAGCAGTGGCACATTGTACTCCAGCCTCCTGTGAGGCCTCTCTGTCCGTTTTCTTAAAAAGGGAAACGGAATGGCGGGCTGGCGCCTTGTGTCTGGGTCTGGGCTGGGGCTCGAGGCACCCTGGGGCAGGATCATGGGAGATGGGCACCGTCGGTTCCCAGGGAAACTGGTCTCCATGGCAACATCTCAGGCATATTCAGCTCATCCCCTGAGCTGGAGAAGATCACTGACCAATGGGCACTGGATGCCCATGGGAGGCTCCAGAAGGCTCCTTGCCACCATGGGCAGTGAGCAGGTCACCCCTGTCCTAGGGACCCTTTGCCCGAATCTCAGCACCTGGATTTTGCTCAGCTGCTTGCCAGCAGAGGCCACTGTTGTCATGGTGATCTCTCCTGGTTTCAGGGAACTCTCCACCCCAGGGCATGGTTACGGGACCCAGGGCTCTGATTCCCTAACTGAGAAAATCCCTGGCGCGACAGCCAGACTTCCCAGAAAGACCTCATGTGGTCTGCGACAGGGTTTGTGCTTAAATGTTTCCCAGGTGACATGTATGTGCTAACCCCTCAGTGTGAGGGCTCTGGGCTGGGGTGGACAACGGCATGGAGCCGCTATCTCCTCGAAGAGTGAACTATGGTTGGGGAGAAAACTCTTGCATCCAGCGACATCCCCACCTTCTGAGCTGGGGTGCCGAGCTGACTGTTCTGGGGCTGGGACTCGGTCTCACCTTCGGGTAGGTCGGAACATCACGTCGAGGAGTCAGCTTCTTGTTATCCAGAAAGCTGTACTTGCAGGGACAGTTGGTCCTAAGGACAAGAAGCAGAGATCAGCGGCTACACTGCTCTGAGCCGAGGAAGTCACCTGTACAGGGCGCCCCCGCCTCACCAGTGTGGAGGCAAACAGCATACCCAGTGACAGGCATGTCACTGCTGCACCCGAGGACCCAGCAGGGACCCAACCATCACATCAGGGCTTTGGAAAACAGAGAACAAAACAAAACAAATCAAAACAAAAAACCCACTTGCTTTTCCATCTCACATCACGAACTCATCCCGTGCTGCTGCTCGGAGCCTGGCCTTGTCTGGTAATGAACGGAAGGAACACAAGGCCCTCCACACAGCAGCTGTGGCCCGCGTCCTCAACCAGTCCCCAGGCTGGACCTTGAGACTGTGCAATGTGCCCTCAGCGTGCAAAGTGGAAAGATGCATCTCCACCTGCTGCCCTCCCTGTTCAACACTGAGCACCCACCTAACAGAGGCAGAAGAGCCTGGGGCCTTGGGGTGTCAGCTACAGGGCTGCCCCAGGGGCTGGGCAGGAGGAGCTGCCCACAGGCCTGGCGCCTGTGGCTGTGGGCTGCACACTTCTGGGGGAACTGCTGGAGGGGATGAACTTGTGGGAAGTGGGCACACTCTCCAGTCAGCTGGAGCACACCAATGGTTTGGGATTTACCCACACAGCATGCAGGGCCGGCATGTCGGTAAGTACTGGGATTTGTAAGTAAGATTGCACTTTCTGGAAGAGCCGTTTAGTAAAATCACAGAGAAATTCACAGCTTCTACATCTGCGTGCTTACTCTGGGGAATTCATCTTAAAAGAATTCAACACAAGCAGACAGCTCTAGAGATAAAGATACTCATTACAGCATTACCTGAACCCGAAAGTTCTCTAAAGGGAAATAATTTAAACCGCTTTGGTGATCTCAGTGAGAGGCCATTATGAGGGTCATTATGGGTATTATGTGAAGGGGGGGGTGGATTTCAGGGGAACAGGGAAAACGGAGAGACGATGCATATTTTGTGTTAAGAGGCGATGCAAAACAAATTTACTGAGCTCTGAGCAAAAAGCAGCACATCTGGTGAGTTAAAAAAAACAATCCTGAACTGTGATGTTTTGGGAAGAAGATCTAGGAACTGTACATTGGTTAAAATTTATTGTTAATTTAGCTTGGTTTGGTGGTGCAGACCTGAAATCCCAGAACTTGGGAGGCTGAGACAGGAGGATTTGCTGCGAGTTTTCGAGGCCAGCCTGGGCTACACAGTGAGTTCAAGGCTGGTCAGAAGCACATAGCAAGACTCTGTCTCAATAAAAAAATGTTTATTTGTTGTTCATAATACTGTAAATTAAAAAAGTTTACAAGACAGTATATTTTAGTTGCTTTTCATGTGAGATATCTAAGCATACAAAAATACCTGGGGGTTTCATGTCCAGATTTAAACTGGGGGCACTGTTGGTTATTGTTATTATGGTGGTCACTCCAAAACCCCAGCAGGGCAGTCTAGGAGTTTCCCCATGAGCAGGCTCCATTTTCTTTTCGTTTGTCTGTCTGTCTGTCTACATAGTTGAGGCTGGCCTTGAACTTGCAGAGATCCCCCTGTCTCAGCCTCTCGAGTTCTGGAATTACGGGTGTGCATCGCCATACTCAGCCCATTTTCAAGCTCAGAAGAGCAAATCTATTCCTTTGTAGTAACACTGCATGGGTCTCTCTGTCATACCACAGGCTCTCCCCTTTATTCCAAAACCGCCAGAGCGGCCACCAGGGTCTGAGGCACAGAAGGAACTGGACAGTGCCCTGGGCGTTCTGCCTGCTTCAGGCTCTCTGCAGGCATAGGAGGCTCACCAGGCAGGCGCAGGACTGGGGGGACTGCAGCTGGAGCTGGCACATGCATCCCTGGGCATGGGCAGCTGCTGGGCGCCACTGACCCCCTCGGTCTGCAGCCCCTTCTCTCTGCAGCCTGTTGCCACGGCAACCAACATCCTCAGCTAGGAGCAGCTGGCATGGCACCCTTTCTTTTCATGCCCTCTCGAGCTTGTTTTTGCCTTTGTTCTCTGGGCTTCCCATCCTCCTGTCACTGGGCTCCGCCCACGGTCAAGATCACTTGTTTGGGAAGAAATCAGAGGTCACAGCCTCAGAGCCCTGCAGCCTCCTTCGGCCCCCAAGGAACTCCCATGGGCTGGACCCCAGGGACAGTAAGACCTGGCTCTGTCCCTGTGTCCCAGTAGGGGCACTGCTCCAGGCTGCTGGTGGGCTGCACAAACCCCTGATCTCCAGTGGGCCCTGTTGAATGCAGACCGCTGGTTCTGAGCCTTGCTGTGCTGTATTGGCCTGTGAGTGACTGTTGGATCACACTGCTGGTTCTGGAACCATCATATGGGCTCAGGATGAGATTATCTGTTCCCCCAGAAAGGTGTGAATACACAAGTTCTCTGACCTCCTAGCCACCCTCCTGTCTCAGCCTCCCGAGTGCTGGAATCAGGGGCAGGCACTGCCATACCCAGCTGTCTCTGTCCTCTTCCTTTAGGTCTCTTCCTATAGACATCCATGGCCCTGTGTCCCAAGGTGAACACATGACTAGGACCCTTGGACCTGCAGGCGGGTTGCCATGCTCATGTCTTCTTCCTTGCTCCACTGGGAAGCCTTACAGGATAAAAGAACCCTAGGAGCGAGGAGCACTGCCCACCAGAAGGCAGGGCTAGCTGCCTGCGACCCCCGGACCAGGAATGGGGGAAGTCATGAAGCCACATGGCCAGGCAGCTAGGGGGTCCCTGCCCATGCCAATCCTTACCTGTTACTTCTGGCCGCCAGCTCCTCCCTCATCTTTTTAATGTCACTCTTGCATTTCTCGATCTCCACGACTTTTAGTCCTTCCACTGGTGACAAAGAGACATGGCAGGGATTACTGAGGAAGAAGCAGCACAGCTCAGGCGGCCACTGGGGTGTCCTGGGGTCATTGGCCACAGCAGGGCTTCCTGCTCCTGGCCAGACCTGGCTTTCAGGCCAGCCAGACCTGGCTCACCCAGCTCTGGCCACGGTGGCGCCACTGTGAGCCACACATCTGTCCCCGAGGCTCCCGTCCACCCCGAAGGCTACACTCTGCAGCTGAAGGTAAAGAGTCAGAGGCATCTCCATCCCCGAAGAAAAGAGGGGGCTGTGTGGCCCCAGGCGCTGAAAGGCAGGAGTGGCACTAGCTTCCTGGCAAGGATTAAAACTCCATTAAGATAAGAGCCTTTCTTTTCTAATGTCCCCCAGCAGTTAACCAGGGTGAGCTGTCGCCTGAAGACAGCTGAGAAGGAAATGGGCAAAGTTAAGGATCAGTGGAGCCGGGCTCCCTAGTGTTCCTGGGGTCCGGCTGCAGAAATGACCTCAGGATGCAGCGGTAGATGAGTGTTACCAAGAGTCATACTTGGGCACGGCTGCGAGTCACTTTCTGTGTCACCCAGGAAGCAGAAAAGGCTACTGGGAGCAGTCTGTGACGTGTTCAAATCTGACACTACAAGGTCCCCTCTCTGTCAAGTGCAGCTCTGAGCAATTGCTAGCAACTGAACAGGACCAATTTCTACAGGAAACAAAGCGTGACTTGGATATAGTGAGGGCCGTGACCCCCACATCCAGGGTGGCTTCTGGGGGACAACGCCTCCTGCCCAAAGGAGTATCACTGCTGAGGTCCTAGGGGCTGACTTCCGGGCCAGGGAACTCTGCTGCTCTTCTCCCGCACAGAGGAGGTGGGGACCGAAAGTGTGCATGTCTGCAGCCAGGGCAGTGGCCTTCCTGGGCCATCAAGGGGAGTAGCCGTGGGGACACTGGCTTGGTCACATGTCTTTTGGCCACCACGCCACATCGCCTCTAGATGAAAGCGGGGGTCCTCCTGCTTTGCACCGTGGACCTTGAAAGGCTGCTGACACCACAGGTGTCTTCTGGAGCCTTGGAGGCTGCCGAGGGGTCAGGAAGCACTGGCCAGGCCCGGTGACTGGTCAGCAGGTTTGGCACAGGGACGCTGTGAGGGCAAAGGCGGGGATTAGGAGCAGCAGCCACAGCTCACTGACACATGAGAAGTAGGAAATTTGGAGAAAGGGGGCCCAGGGAACAGACGGACAAGCAGTGCTGGCCAGTGAGTTCGTGGCTACCTCTGCTGTGCTCCAAGTGCCGCTGTTCTTGGCCAGGTGTGGTGGGGCCAGACACGCCTGGGGTCCTAGCCAGTCCAGGACCACAGCTGGGTGCAGAGCCTTATAGATGACATCACGGATCCCCTCATATACTCTCGAGCTTTAACTGTAGGTGGACAAAAATGAAGCACTTCAAACCAAAGCAGAGCCTTGCCTGCTCCCCCAGCGCGGGGGCAGATGAGTTGAGACAGAGTCATAGGCAGACAGGCACTGAGGTGTCCTGCCAGGGAGGGCTATGGACTGCGGGGGGCACTGCAACAGAACCCCCTGGAGGCCTCAGGAGCAGCCAGCCCTGCCGACACCTGGAGTTCCAGCGTAGGTGCTGCCATCGTACACGCCCTGACACAGCTGTCCTTGCAGCCTGGACACAGCTCTCCGCCTTCTCTGGTTCCCACAGCCAGGCTGTGGGTGCAGCGCCTGGCTCCGTTCAGACTTACAATCTGCAGCAGGTGACGTGGAGGGGGGCAGCCTGTTGTCTGCAGTGGTGGCCACAGGGACCATGGGGGAGTCAGGGTCCAGGCACGGGGTACTGAGGAAGCTATGGTGGCACCTGGCTCAGCAGTGCACCCCTTGTAGCATCAAAACTGCCGAGCCTGCTCCCCGGGCTGGGAGGCCCCCAGGTCCTTTCCAGTCCTGTCCCATGCAACGTGGCACGGTCCGCCTCTTCTCTAATCTGCATCGTGGACTCCAAGGGCTCCCTCCAGCGCAGCACATGGGTGCCTCATCCCAGGAAGCGGGTGGCAGGCAGTGGGCACAGCCCAGCCAGGGCTCTGGGCACTGGCGCCAGTCTCACTGATTGAGTCTGGTTTGCCGGATGAACTCAATCAAGTTACTTAATCTTCTTGTGGCTTCCTCGTTATCGAATGGCTGGAGGCGTCTGTAAGAAGCCAGCGCAATTAGGCAGACAGGGGGCCCGGGAAACCACGGTTCGACTGGCTTTGATGGATCAGGTCTTGCACCATCCTGAATTTTTTTCTTTTTTCTTTCCTTTTTTTTTCTTATACAGGGGATCAAAGTTATGACCTTATGCTTGTCAGACAGGTGCTTGTGCTGCTGAGCTAAATTCCCAGCCCTTTCTCTTTTTTCTTGAAAAAATCACAGGCAATTGGACCAGGTACGAGCAGTGACCCACGCGGGTCTCACGAATCCAGATCAGCAGGTACTCTGGAGGGTGATGTTTGCGACCAGTAAGGAGCAGCCAGAGTTTGCAGCTGTTTCCCTGCAGAATCTGGGCTTTCCAGTACCTGGACTAGGACTGGAATGGATGCTCCTGTGCTTACAGGCAGGTTTTCCTTGGCCTCCGAGAGCGCGATCCCCAAACTGCCAAGAAGGCGTGGGGGTGGGTGTTCTACGCCCTGTGGGTGTATGCGGGGGCCTCACAGACCTTGGGGGAGGCCCACATGTGCTAAGTGGGGTGCTCCGTGTGTGCCCATGCACACCCTCAACACACAAAGCATGCTTCGCCCCACGTGTGTGACTTTAAAATTAGCGCAGGGCTTTCCCGGGCTGCTGCCCTCGCCTGTGCAAACTGCAAGGCATTTCGCGAGCATGCGCACAAAAGACGCATGTCCGGCCCTGGGCGCTAACTCCGCCGTGCAGCCGCAAGATTCCAGGGTGACGCCCCGGGCAGGAAGGAAACAGAGCCACTCACGCTCCACGCGCTTCTCCAGCACCGCCAGGTGGCTGGCGACGTCTGCTTTCAGCTCGTTGATTTTAAACGCTCTGGGGGGGAGAGGAAGGAGACAGGAAGAAGCATGAGCCATGAGATACTCAGCGCTGACCACGGCCCTGCCCGTGACGATGGGTGCTGGCCTCTAGGGAGGCTCGGGTGTGGCCAGTCCCCTTGGGGTTTGGGGGCCACGGTCCGTGGGAGGACAGGAAGTCCTCTGTGCCCCAAGCTGGCTCGGTCCCACCCCTACACCCTCCCCCATGGGGCCTGACACCTTAGAAGGTTCATGAGGTCAAAACATTTGATCAACAATTCAAGGACTTTTTCCCTGCTGCACTGGGGATGGATCCCAGGGTCCTGGCACCGAGCTACCATTCTGACCATCAGCACTTTTTATATTTATTTTTTGAGACAGGGTCTTGCTAGATCAGTAAGTTATCAACTTTCAGTCCTCCTGCCTCAGCCTCCCAGAACTTGGGGATTACAGTTGTGTGCCACCATGCCTGGCTTGGGCTTTAACAAACACATCCGGCTGCCCTTTCTCTCTTTTTAATCACCCAGGGCAGTAAGACAACAAAAGGAAGTCAGTCTGAGAGACACTGGAAACACCGACTAACAGCCGTGGGGGGACCCAGAGTGGAAAGGAAGCCGCCACCGGTTGGCACAGGGGCTCAAGCCCCCGCTCCTTCCAAAGTGGTGCCGGCCTCAGGGACTGTCCCAAGCCCCAGAAGAGCAAATGCTCACACTCAGATCCCAAGGGTGGGCACCTGACTTGGCCTTGGGATAAGGCCACTGCTTTCTGGGGCTCGGGTGCTCCTGCGGGCTGAGGCCAGCCCTGGGCCAGGGGCCCTCCTGTGGCATGGGTGGAGCAATGTGGACAAGGGGCTCCGTACCTGGAGAACTGGTCTGCCACCTGCGCCAGGACACCTTGGATTAATTCTTCTCTCTCTGCGAACCAAAGGAGACAGACAGATGGAGGCGACCTGGGGGCTGGCAGGAGCGGTCCCAACTCCTGGGTCCCACAGGGATGCCTGGCCTGGCCCGGCCTTGGCCCTACAGCCTCCCTTCTGGGTGCCCCGGGTCCCAGCTGCTCTCAGCCACGGAAAGCAGGTAGGACTGGAGGCCTTGGGACCGGGGAAGCCTTGTATTGGGCGTGGGCACATTTCATGGCGCTGTGGGGACGGAGCCACTGCTGGCCCAGGCAGTTTATACCACGTGTCTGCAGGGTGGGCCTGGGAGGAGGTGCTGCTTGCCCGTCCACCAGCGTGTAAACAGGCTCCAGTTGCGCTGCCCCGGCCCCTGCTTGCTTCCTGTTTCCTGGCCAGGCTGGCAGTCACTCTTGCAAGGGGAAGCTGCCCATAGCCTGTCCCTCCCATCAACACTGGCATTTCAGGGTTCAGCTTTGTGCAGATTCCTGAAACCTTCCGTTGCCTACCTGATGGCTCAAAGGAAAACAGGACCAAAGGAAACCTGTCCGAGCCAACAAAATAAAAACACTTTGGTCCAAAACTAAAAGTGGGCTGAGAGGGTAGCTCTGCAGGTAGCCCTTGCCCAGCATGCACAAGGCCCTGGATCCAGTCCCCAGCACTGCCAAACAACAACAGAAAGGATTTACATTCATCTAGCCTGGAGCAGTGGTGCATGCCTGTAATCTCAGCTCTCGGGAGGCTGAGGCAGGAGGATCACCATGAGTTCAAGGCCAAACTGGGCTCCGCAGGGACAAACCAAACCAACCACACAACAACAAAACAAAAACTCCCCCAAACTAAGAACATCCACATTCTGGCCCAGTGTCTTATTTCTGGGAATCAGTCTTGTGTGGAGACCACAATGTTATGCACACAGGAATAGTAGCCTGGAAGTCCATCAAATGGAGGTTTGTCCAATACATGATGATAAATCTGCGTTGTGGAATCACATTCTATTAGGAGCCAGTCTCGGAGAACGTTCACATTTACTGGGAGAGTCAAGCAATCTTTCGAGTGGGAACACAGAGCAATCTCAGCCTGCAAACGTCTTGGAAAAGCGTACTCCAAAGTAATGACGACCGTTCTTTCAGCTATCACTCATTTTATATTCCTAGTTTTGCTTCTGTGATAAATATTACTTTTCCTTTTCTCTTTTCCTGCCTGCCCCTCTTCTGTCTCTCTCTCTCTTTGATGCAGTGCTGGGACTGAACTCATGGCCTTCACACTGAGCTACATCCCCGGCCCACTTTAAGATTAGTTTTTAAAGTTTTGATACAGGAGGCAAGGGGATGTAAGCAGAATAAAGATGTGTGATGTACGTGTACCGACTCCCCGTGATGGATGCAGTCATTATGTGCTGCAAACATGCACCAATGCAAATAAAAATTTGGAAAAAGAAATAGCTTCCATACAAAAAAATTAAGTTACTTTTTGAGTCAGGGTCTCACTACATTGCTAACTTGCCAAAGTTGAGCTTGAACTCAAGATCCTCCTGCCTCAGCCTCCCAGAGTGCTGAGATGTAGGGGTGTGCTACCCATGCCTGGCTGAAAAGAAGTCAGATTCATAAAAAGACTAAAATGACTCAATCTAAATTCCCCTCTCGGGCTCTCATCGTTTCTGTCTACACAAACCCACTGAGTTTCCCAAGATGTTGACTGGCATTGCCTGTGGCCCAAGGCCGTTGTTAATACATCCAGGTGCCAGCCCTGGGCCACTTCCTCCTGGCACCGATCCAGTGGGATGGGTGGACACGGCCTGCTTGACTCATGTGGATGCTCTGGATGCCTGGCACAGGCTGTCCTGACCCGTGCCATAGTGACCTGTGCCCCAGTGCCACACCCCTGTCACCATGCTGCCTCCCAGAACTCACACTGCCCTCGAAGGGGCCAGCAATAAGGCTGCCCATGGGACAGCGCCCTGTGCCCTGTCAAGCACCTCCTCCCTCTCCACAGAGACCCTAACCTCTGTATCGCATCAACCCCAGGGCCTGTGCACGACAAGCTGTCCGTCACTGTCTCTAATCACCGCAACTTGGTGATTCATGCTCTACACTTCATGCTCTAGACTCCAAGGCTGCCAGAGAGGTGATGCCAGAGACACCCAGGCCTCTCCTGGGCCAGCTTGCCAGGGCTTGGCAAGAAGAAGAGAACGAGCTGGGTCTGGTGGTGCACACCTGTGATCCCAGCACTCGGGAAGCAGAGGCAGGAGGATCTCTGTGAGTTTAAGGCTAGCCTGGGCTACAAAGTGAATCTCAAAAAACCACCAAACCAAACCAAAGAAAAAAAAGGAGATGAGAGAAAAACATTCTGTTCAATCTCTCAAAGCTTCGAGGGTGAAAAATATGAGCCAGGACATGTGGACAGGACCCCAGGCTGGGTGGGCACCCGAGGTGAGGGGAACTGGGTTTCAGGGAGCAGGGGCCTGGGCCCAGGGAAGGACCACAGAGGTTTTCGGCTGCAGGGATGGGCTCAGCAGGGTTCAGATCACTCATGGTGAGATCTTTGCAAAAAGCAGTGAGTCCCATAAACTTGAAGGTTAATGATCTCACAGCTGAGATTCATTTAGAAGTCCGGTATGGGCCAGGGGAGAGCAGCAGAGCCTCAGAGATCCTATGGTGACCCTCGGCGCAACGGGGCGACCCAGAGCAGGACCCCAGAGCACCCCGAGAGCAGTCACAGTCTGGGGGCGATGTGCTGCTGAATGATGCGTGGGCCACGGAAGGAATCTCAAGGAGGGAAAGAGAGGCTAAAGCCAATGGAAATGAAAAACGGAAAATTTGGACAAGTCCAAGGCCACTGGGAGGAGGGGGGGCAGGAGGCCGAGTGACCCCAGCCTGTAGCCTGTGACTCAGAGCACCGAGAGTGGGGGTGTCTGAGAACTTCGGGGACGGCACAGAAGCCCTGCTAACCCTGGGGATGCTTTGTGGGCATATACACACCCAGCGGGAAACAGAAAATAAAACAAGCGTGACCTCTGTTTTGTAAAACTGGGTCAGATGCTTCTCAGCCCGTCGGGGACACGTTAATCACTGAGGGAGCATCCGCCAGAACCTGGGGCCCCAACTCTGCCACCTGGTCCCCCACTCCATGGAAAGCAGGGACACCTGACTATCAGTTTTCACAACACCTGGTTCCAGACCCCTGCTGGTCAGCACCGGTCAGCACTGGAAGCTCCCAGCCGCTGCCTAGACCCAGACGGACCCAGATGCCAGATGCCACAGGAGCAGAGCCGGTGCCGCGGGAGAGCAGCCAGGAGAGGAACTGTGGAACTGAACCGCCGCTCCCCCAGCAACGAGGCTGCTGCAGAGCTACTGGGCCAGGACTACCCAAGTCATCGGCGAGGCCCCGGCCCGGCAGCGGTGAGGGATGATCAAAAATATGGTGAAGGCCGAAATGTAAGTGCATTACAGTGAAAGACACATGGCCATAGGCCCCGCCAGCTCTCCCCTCTCTTTGGCTGTACTCTTCCTGTCCTTCCCGCCACCTCTGCACCAGCTCTGGACCCTCACTCCTGAGGGTCTTTATGAGCTGTGATCAAAATATGGTGAGCGCTGCTGCCCAGCACCAGCCAAGGGAAAGGCAGGCTCTTAACACACCTCTGCGTCCTCATCCACCTCAGTCACCGGATCTGGCACCCTGCGACTTCCAGCTCCTCCCCAAAGTTAAAGTGATCAGGAAAGAGAAAGGTTGTGAATCCATTCAGGACATGGGGCAGCCAGGGCAGCGCAGCTAAAGACCCTCGGGAAAGTGGACTCCTGAGCTGCTGTGGGAAGCGGCAGGGACCATGGGGTCATTCGCCATGTTTCCATCACACCTTGACTTCCTCAGAGCTGCCCCTGCCACCCAGACTGAAGCGGGCATCCACCGGAGCCCTCTCCCTGGCTGCTAACTTTCTTTCTCAGGAAATTGCCCTGATTTTCATTGTGATCACACTTCTGTGCACAGAGACTAAAGTTTGAGTTCACAGGAAAATGTGCACAATTTTCCCCAAGGTGGAACGAGCCAGCTGCTCCTTCAGAGTGACAGAGACACAATCGGAGGTCCACCCAGCCCTCGAGACACTCCGCCAAGGGCTGTGCTGACTGAGGACAGCGCCCGCTGCATGCACGAGCACCCTGGGATGGACCAGGGTAGAAAATGCAGAACAAGCTGGGCGTGGTAGCCAAGGAAGGACATGGGTGGCCAGGAAGCACAGGAGGGACCTGGGTGTGGACACCCTAGCTGGTCCTGCTTTTGTTCTTACAGCTGCATGGAACCTACAGCTCATGAAAAAGTTAAAGAGTTTGCCTTGGGCATTTTCTGTTTATTTTCTGAGACAGGGTCTCACTATTCAGGCCAGGTTGGCTCTGAATTTATTATGTAGCCAGGGTGGCCTGGAACTCACAACTCCCCTGGCCTAGCCTCCTGAGTGCATGGATTACAGGTGTGCGCCACCATGCCTGGCTGCCTCTGGACTTTGGAGGGGATCCTTCGTGTTCATAGCATTTCTTTTTTTTTGTCTTTTTCGTTTTTATTGGTACCAGGGATCGAACTCACGACTGCCTGCTTGCAAGGCAGGCACTTATGCCGCTGAGCTAAATCCCCAGCCCCGTTCATAGCATTTCTATGCCTGTACTTAATCCCTAGCACGAGCTGTGATCCTGCTCTGTGCCTCTCATCCCATACCTCTGCTCTTGCCAGCCTGGTGGCACCAGGGTAGATATCTGCATTCTGTATTCTGGTCTGGTTGTAGCGACGCCTCAGCTCATGTCAACCAGCCCCCAGTGCTGGTGGATCTGTTGTCCTTGGAAAGGACTCAGAAACCAAATTGGTGGGATGCCTCCCACCCACCCCAGGACCTTGGCCCAAGCGGCTGCATTCTGCTAAGTATGCAGCTTACAGGGCTCTGCAAGGGCTCTGCAAGGACTGGGCCATTGGCAAGCTTTGGTGACAGAGGTGAGCACAAAGCAGCCCCTCCACGCATAAACAGAGCCCCGCAGG